CTTCTCCACAGACTGCCAATGTCCGCACACTTGTTCACAGACCCCCACTGTACTGACACGCTTTGCTGCTGACTGTCATTTACTTATAGACTTCCCTGCAGACATTCACTGACACAATTGTCTGCAGACTACAACGGTATTGACACACTTTTCAACAGACAGCCACTGTGCCAATGCACTTCTCTGCAGACAGCCACTGTACTGACACACTACTCTGCAGACAGCCACTCTACTGCCACACTTTTCTGCAGACAGCCACTGTACCAATGTACTTCTCTCCAGACAGCCACTGTACCAATGCACTTCTCTACAGACAGCCACTGTACCAATGCACTTCTCTGCAGACAGCCACTGTACCAATGCACTTCTCTGCAGACAGCTACTGTACTGACACACTTCTCTGCAGACAGCCACTCTACTGCCACACTTTTCTGCAGACAGCCACTGTACCAATGTACTTCTCTCCAGACAGCCACTGTACCAATGCACTTCTCTACAGACAGCCACTGTTCCAATGCACTTCTCTGCAGACAGCCACTGTACCAATGCACTTCTCTGCAGACAGCCACTGTACCAATGCACTTCTCTGCAGACAGCCACTGTACCAATGCACTTCTCTGCAGACAGCCACTGTATTGAGACTTTTTTGCAGACCAACACTTCTCCACTGACCACCACTTTGCCAGTGCACTTCTCTGCTGACTGATACTGCAGCAGTCCACTTCTCCACTCACAGTTGTAAATGTAATAGCACACCAACTGCCACATTTATATCCTATTCCAGTGACCACCAAAGGCGCCATCTGTTCCGATCAATAGGGGATTCATGCATGGACCCCCTGCTGATAGTAGCAGTAGGGCATGAATGTTACTTTTGTGACATCCATGTCCGTCCAGTTTTTCCCTCTATCTTACGATGGAGAAAAAACTGAACTTACGGGACCAATGTTCGGTCCACGGGGAGTAGGATGTAAGTGGACATGTGTCCATTTACATAAGATACCCCTAACATGTCACAATCAGGTCTTGCAAGATGGAACTCTGCTCAATTTCTTTTTCTTGACCTAGATGGAATAGGGTGCAATTGGATGTTAACAGACGCATGTCCATTTAGATCCGGCTGCCTATAGAGTTACATTGGGCTTCTGAGCAGATCCAGATGAAAAGTGATAGGCGGACCTGATCAGACAGACCATGTAAAAAGGGCCTTACTAAATGTAAAAAGTTATGAAGGGGCATAGTGAACAGTGTTACTTATCTCTTCTATTTTCTGTATCTTTGCTGTATGTAGACTTGGAGCAGATGGTGGTAGACCTATGCTCATTGCCCTAGGTGACCCAGCCCTGCAACACCCCTGAAGCTGATAAAAATCTTACATGTAATTGTGTTCTTATAAAACCACCCTCATCACAAAACACTTTCTCCTTCAAGTGATTTATTAGAGAATCAACTTGTAAAAATTCCAAACTGATCTGATAATTTCATGTCGTTGTAAATGCCAAGGGGAAATGTTCAGATCTTGTCAAGCAAGAAACTACAAGAACATCCTCTCATCTGACAGAAGAGAGGGTGTAAAATCGATGGCTGATGAAACCATCTTGTATGATGTGGCCCTTAGTTCTGAGTGCTCCACTAAATGTGAGATATTCTTTTTTTACTCTTTTGGTAGTACATTATTAACCCCCTGGTTACTATTGCTGCATTTGCAAAACATTAAAATCCTTAAAGTTAGTTTACAAAAGGGGTGTTTAGCAAAGTAAGTGTTCACTGATCTTAAAGTGACACTAAACTAAAGTAAAACCGGCACTTCCTGTCCCACGGTGTCTGCCTGCGGGTGCACGCGTCCATAGACTTACCTTGCGTCTCTCGTCGTCTCCCGGCCGAAAATCCGAACTGCTCATGCGCCCGCCCCAAGATGCTTTGCGGCTGCCCGAGAATTTCCGAGCATTTTCGGACAGGAGCGCGTGGTGAAGACAGGGGTAAGTTTAAAACGCTTTTTTTTTTTAAAGCAGGGTTTTTTTTTTACTTTTTGCATATATCTACTGATATATGGAAAAAAAAACAGAGGGTTTAGAAACCCTTTAACTTTATTTTTCTGTAGTTGCTTCAGGGGGTGTGAATTGGGGTTTTTTGGCAGCTGAGATGGGAAGGCAGCTTTCCCTTCTCAGCGTTCACACGGAGCAGAGTGGATGTTCTCCACTCTGCTCCCTGCTCTCCATCCTGAAGATCTCGATCTCTGTAGAGAGAGGCGGTCAGCGAGGAGAAAGGGAGACGGTGAGGACACACACACACACACCTGCAGGCTGCATACAAGTGATCTCGGTGACATCGCCGAGATCACTTGTACAAAACAAGCGATGGGCAAGCAGGGCTAAATGTAGAAAACAACTACCCCCTCCCCCAACACCCGGAACTGCATGTCCCGGGCGTCGGGAGATAGGCATTCCACACCCCTGTTGCCCCTCTACTCCCTGCTGCCCCGGGCCTCGGTTGGCCTTGTGGGAAATCCGGCCCTGGCAGCAGGTCTTTTGCATGTCGGCCTATTGTCAGAAACATGTGCGTACAGATCTTCGTGTAAAATACACAACATGTAATTTTATAGTTATTATGAAAATGATGGTGCTTTGTGGTCATTCCTAACAGAATATATAATCAGCAGACAAATTGCTGGGTGCAAAAGACAGGGAAACCTTCTTCATTATGGAAGCCATTTATTAAATGTGTAGGTCTGTGTGTTTATTTTAATTGGCTGTTCAGGTACCAAGTGTGCACATTTCTTAAGGTACCCAAGCACCTTATGAATATCGGCCGATTTTCGTATGCAATCGTGTTTTCGTCGAATATTCGTAAGGTTCATGGGCAGTGTACAAACGCAAATGCTGTACAATCAATTGACTTTTGACTAACCGGTCGATCGCACGATTTTCGCAAGGTTGGTGGCGTCTCCGTATGTCAAAATTCGTACAATTTACACTGCACATGCGCAGATAAAAAAAACGTGCGGTCGATTAGCGCAATTCGTCCAGGTGCTTTCTTTTAATTACCGCTTATCCCACCTTGCGATAATCGGGGCAGGATGGGACCGCCGTAGGAAAATCTTACGACGGTTCGACCATCAGACAAAAAGTGTTCTCTAATGATCGCAAGGTGTATGGGCAGCCTTAGGTGTACTTAGTTCCTTTAACATTCTAATATCATGCCCGTGGCAAGTGCTATTGAATTGTGCTGAGAATAAATCAAAATCACAAAAAGCAAACTTGTATTTTGCCCATTCAAGGCAAAGGAAAGGGTTGGCTTAAGGAAGAACAGCACTGCAAGGGTTAACTGCTTGCTTTTCTCTAGGGACAGAACAAAGAAGAAATACTCACCCGATCCTTGGTTCTGCAGCAGTGGCCACTCACCTCTCTACCCCTCCGCTCTGGCTGTGATATGTCCCTCAGCCTCCTCACGTCTAATAGACCTGTATTAGATGTGATGCTGTCATGGGTCCTTAGACCACTGGAGCCTGGGGGCCGGTCTAGCAGCCAGGCTGGACCGAGGAGCGGTTAAGTATTTATTCTTTATTCCATCCCCTGGAGAAAAATTAGCACTTAACCCTTGCAGTGTGAGGGTAGCCCCACTGCAAGGGTTAACTTTTCAAAATAATGGACTTCTTAAAAGCTGCACCCTTTGCTGCTGATACCGCCCCCTCAATCCCATGCTCCCCATTCACCCGCTGGAGCACCTTAGGGAAGGGCTGAGCTTGGAGACAGTGGAGCATTTGCCTCCTGGGCCAGCACAAATACAATATATGATTGGCTGGTGGCCCTGAGTAGAGATACTTCACCATTCAGACATTGATCAGAGTGAGACCCACAGTGAGACACATGGTAAGTGTCATAGGTGAGGGTACAGGGATGAGGTAGGCCAGACAATGAGCAAGGTATCGCCATCTGTTGCGTGTCCTTGGAAATTGACCAGGGAAAATCCCATTGGTGACACCAGATTTTAGGGAAATCATGCCCACAGTAATTTTGCTAACCATGGCGATAACCTTGTTTGGTGGTGGAGGAGGAATAACGAGAGCTTGCCTTGGGAAGGTAAAACAGGTCCATGAAACAGCTATCATAGCCTAAAATACCGCCACCCATCCATAGAGGGAGACTCCCCCATAATCAAGCTGGCCGGACACAGAGAAGCAGATAAAAGTCCCTGTCCACACCTTTGCATTCCGTGCAAATGAGCGTCATGCGTGCGCTTTGATGAGCATTTACGGAACGCTTCAAAAACATGCATCATGCTTGCAATGCCATTACTTATTAATGGCACACCAAATAGAAGTGGGAATATGTGCAGGTAGAAAACAGTGCGTATGTAGCAGAATCTGCTACATGAGCTCCTTTCCAGCATTTGTCGCGCGTGTGGCACCCATTGAAATCAAAGGGTGATGCTGCGGCAAACATGGGGAAAAACGCATGTGAATGCGACGCAAGTTCCTGATACACAAAAGGTGTGAACGGGGCCAAAGGGCAATTAATAGCTAGATTATTCCCACATGCTTCTGATATTCCCTAAACTATCCTTTAAACACTTTCACTTTTCCCACTGCCCACATACACCACACTGTTTAGGGTAGCTTGCCACCACCTGCACTTTGTCAGTTAACTGAGAGACACTAGTAATATGAATTATCTTATGTTACCAACTGCAGCATTTCAGTGATGCAGAAACCCATGCAATGAAATGGCTCATGTAACTCTACTCAGGAGTTAAAACAGAAGTCTTTCATCCAGCAAATGAATGTCATTCATTCATCTATTTGTAGTGTGATTTCCAAGCTCCAAATCGGCTTCACCATAAAACTATCTTCTATGTACTGTATCTCACCTGTTTAATAACATAAGCTGAATGGAAGTACATTGAACCCCGTCCAACTTATTTACATTGTAATTAACTAGTAGGAGGAGGGCAGGATTCAGTTATAAATACAGCTTACACCTGACCTGCTGTCATATTATGAATGCACATAGCTTGAATCACACAAGGAGTACATTGGAAGCAATGATGGGTAAGTACTGCAATGATTTCCTTTAATGATGTTTTCCTATATCAATGATATGTACATGGCCTGGATGAAGTCAGCAAATGCCTACAGATCAGGACCCAAATCTACCTTCAGTTGTGTTCTTTCAATGTTTCATAGATTGAACTTTTATATGTATGTTAAACGTGTATGTTGTATGTATTGCCTAACTAGAAGTGCTATTTCAGAATATTCAGCACTTTCTTATTTGCTCAAAATATCACAAGGAACAAAGTTTCTCTTTGGAGGTAAATTGCTGTACACTGCAGTACACATTGCAGTACTGTACACAAATTGCATTTGTAAAGTGTATCTAAAGTTATATTATAGCTGCAGATGTAGTAAGGAAGAGTTAGAACCCTTGTTGGCGTTTAATTGCTGTCTTTGTCTCCATTGAGGAGCTTCAACCTCTCTATATAATTTTTATTATTATTATAGCTCTGTAGTATACTGATATACTCATTCTCTGATATCTGTGCTGACCGACCATATGATCAACTGGGCCGTGCTAAACCTTTAATACTGTAACTGTGTACTCTACTGATATAATCATTCTCCACTAACCCTATAATATTATAACTCTGTACTGATATGATCATTCTAGATATCTGTACCGCTTATAATAATATCACCTGAACCTTCTTCCTATGTCTGGAGACAGAAATCGAAGGAAAGTCTCCCCAAATGCACATAGGCAGCAAAAAAAGAGAGAGTTTTTAAGTTTTTCTACTATTACAAAACTTAAGAAAAAAGTTCAAGCTTATAGATATACTCTGAGTACTATAAATGTGCACATGGCCATTAATGATTTATTGTTTCTTTTTGTTTTAAATCTTAACTCTGACATAAGCAGATATTGACTAATCATAGCGGGCATGTGTATTAGTTTTGTATGCCATTTTTTTAAAGTGACATTAAAGCCACAA